CCCCCCCCGGTCTAGGTAGGGTTAAGATCGATAAAAAAAGCGTTTATGTCCCGCATTTCAATACTTGAGAAGGAAAGTTTACATATCTACCCCAAAATACTTGAATGCAGTTCAATACTGTCAATCAGCGACCAGATCTCCAAACAGGGTGCATCTGCTGCCGAATTTTGGGCATTGGCCCTATGCCCAAATTGGCCCTATGTCCAAATATCGCCACACACCCTGCTATAGTACATTACTAATAACAATGTCAAAAAGTCCAAACCATTTTAAGAGACAAAAGAAAATGAAAAAAAAAAAAACGCCTAGGGGTATTTTCACTGCACCTTCATGCCAAATTTCATGTTATTTAGCCCCAAAATAAAGGAGTTGAATCAATTTAAAGAAATAACAGGAGGAGAAGAATGAGGAGATGAAACTTGAGCAAAAACAATATGACTTCACCACATTGTGCTGAAGTCATAATTAATAACTTATCTTGCTGAGCGCATCATATGTCGTTCTGCACATACAGTACCATCTATATAACACCCTGTATAGGTACGATTTGGGAGTATTTCTCGTGCAACTCATCACACCGCTGCGAAACGCAACGAATGCGGAAGTAACTATGCCACTGCAGGGCAAAAAAAATTAAGGGGATATGATCTTATTAAGACATGAAATTATTGAAAAATATTGTGCTAGGAATGTCAGCAGGACAAGGGTTAAATTAGAAATGCAGACATTGGGGCTCTTTAATGTGGGATGTTTTATGTAGTGATAAAACCCTGTGTGTGCTTTTGAGTAAAATGATTTTTTTTACAAACACACTAGGGTGTTTCTCTGAGAGTCAAGAGTCAATTTTTCAAGTTTCATATTTTACAACTCCATTACAGAAATTACATTGCATAACGCTTTTATTAACGAATTTATATTGATTAAAAACTGGGCACTAAACGGACACTACAGGGCACTACAGCACATTACGACAAAACCTGTCTCCTCCAACGATTCGTTTTCAATGTAAAATGACGTCACAGAACTTAAAGTGGTTGCCAAACAGTACTTACAAGGACCACCTCGCGATTAGCAAATTTACAGTTTCGCACTTTTACAAGATCCACACAATCCTGTATCTCCTTGAAGATTGCTTACCAACAAACCACCCCGTATCTGCTTGTACTGTTGTAGATTCAAATTATCTGTTCATTTGGGCCAAAAAATTAAATCCAATCAACAAATGTCAGGGTAAGAAGGTCAAAGATGACGAAATAAAGCAGAGTGCTTTATATATCCATCCATCTATTCATTAACAATGACCCAATGAACTCATTAGATAATAAGCAAGAACAACGACTCCTTCCTTTCTTATTTATCAGAGATGAATGCCTTTTGTCTGTTGCTCTGTGTTTATTCCTGTCAACACCCCATTGCACAATTTACGAACCCCGCTGCAAATTAAACTAAAAGTTAAAAATTCAAGACCATACTATTGTAAAGGGGTATATGATCAAAGTTATAGCAAATTGATAAAAGTATATAAAACACACACACACCATACTAAATACAGATTATTTGGGTGTACAATAATACCAGGTCTCCAAAATAAAATAATTCTAAAAGCCTGTATCGAAAAATTTATAGTATGACAGGTAATACAAAGACATACATAATACAGCAAATTTGAAGCCTTTTTTTGCAGCCTAGAGACTGAATTAAGCAGCTTTTACAATTACTAAAGTATACACGAATAAAAATGTATTGGTCGGCATATACGTAACATCACTTATGATTTTAGGTAATTGCCTTCGACGAGAAGGCTATGAAATCGTTTTGGCACTGTTTGGCAGATTATGCACGATAAAGTTTGAAGGCATGCTCCGATGTTCACGATTTTTGCAGGCAGGTTGTCTTAGTGATGGGTATTGTCAAGGCGAAATATGGGCTTCGTGGGGGGGGGTTCTTACGTGACTGGAGCTGACCTTTTCTGTTTGCATTTTTTTGTTGTACTCCAGATAACTCGGGAATCCTTAAATTGTTGTCTATGATTTTTAGTTGGCAAGTCCCCGTTGAGAATACGGAGGTCAAGTTCGGAAATGGGCCTTGTGGGGGGGTTCCCATGTCATGGAATTTGACATTTTGTGTTGGCCGTTATTGTTTTTAGCGGGATAATTCGAGAATCTGCAAATGGATGTTCACGATTTTTGCTGAGCAAGTTACCGTTGACGTAATGAAGATCAAGTTCGAAAAAGGGCGTCGTGGGATGTCCGTACGTTGCTGTAGTGGGCTTTTGGTAATTGAACATTTGTAATGGGCAGGCGAAGTCTTGCTTTGGTTTAATATCTAGGTTGAAACAACAGGAGACGGAGAAGGATGATGAGACGAAACATAAGTACATAATGAAAAATAATATTATAATCAGTACATATAGTACGGATTGGTTTAAATAGGTTTTAAGATAATTTTAACTTTTCGTAGAAAGGTGACCACACAGCTGTCTCGCTTTTTTTTATTTGTTTAATTGCTTTTAATGAAAATATGATATCATGTTATCTATACTGTTTTTAAACGGATAATGTTCTTCTTCGGGGGTTTTAACCACACGTCAAAATAAATTACAGCATTCCGGCATTTTTTTACTCTATTGTACCTGACCCTAACTGTTACGTGTAGCCCCGAGTGATTGATAAAACGTCAATATGAACCAAAAAGCTTATAGACAAAAAAGTTTTAAGTTCCTCTTTTAAGCTGGTTTAGAAGGAGCGTTTACGTGGTAAGACGAGTTGAATCGCTTTATGTGATGGGTGTCCCTCTATGATATGAAGCTTTTTGCTTAAAAGTAAGGTATTTTTTTTAAATAAGTTTTATCTATTTCAGAAAGATCGGGTAGTCAAGTCATTTTTTTCTTTGCTTATCCTAAAGCGCAGTCTCTATTCCCTACAATGGACCAACATGGACAGCCCAATCCACAGCGTCGAAATGGTTTTTATGATGATATACAGATGATCATTTCGCAGTATGGTAAGCTTGATTTTAATGAGTTAGTTCGCATTGGATTGTGATGATATTTGGTATGTTGGTAAGTCTTAGGAAGACAAGGTCAAATATGGGCCTCCTGGTGGCTGACCTTGGCACTGCGGCAAACTTCCGTTTTGTTATAATCTTTTGTCCAGAACATGATATTGAAGACAGATACCTTTTCCTGTCAGGAATAAGTGGTGTGAGTTTGGGCTTACTCTGGGACTGCAGGAGACTTTCAGGCAAAATCCAAAAGTGGATGAGTCCAAATAGGAACAATGTATTTTCATCATTTTTGTGTAGGTAGCTAAGAGAGAGAGACACATGATTAGATGCAAACTATGCAAATGAAGACCTAATTTGAACAGTGAAGAAGAATATTTTACAATTAGCGTTTTATAATCGTACATTTAAAAATGTAGCATATTTCATCTATGGCAGGCGCAATATCAACAAATACCAATTATGCAAATGATGACCTAATTTGCATTATTGATGTGAAAATTCTGTGATTCCTTTTCGTAAATGATGGGAACTTTATTCCTTGTGACATATGTGTAAGCTACAGGTAAACATAACTATGCATATATTGTTATTAACGTACGGATGTCCCAAGTATGACATTCCCACCATTCACCATTAAGAAATCAGAATCTTTGCATTAATTATACAAATTAGGACATCATTTGCATAATTAGTATCTGTTGATGTTCCGCCTGTCATAGGTTACATACATTACATGTATGAAAGTAATGTAAAACACTGTAATTATAAAATTTCCTCATTAATTATTCAAATATAGTGCTCATTTGCATAATTTGCATTTAATTATGTACATCTCTCTCAGCTACCAACACACCAAAAATTATAAAAATAAGTTGTTCCTATCTGGACTTATTGGCTTTGAAACATTTCGCCAGAAAGTGCCCTGCAGTTCCAAAACAAGCTGCTAGGGGGACCAAACTCACACCACTTATTCCTGACAGAAAGAGCGATCTGTAATCAAAACATCAAGATCAGGACAAAAGATACAAAAACCCGAAGTTCTGCTGCAGTACCAATGTCATCCACCAGGAGGCCTATATTTGACCTTGACCTTTGTCTTCCTAAGACTTACCAATTTACCAAATATCATCATAATCCATAAAGGCGTTAAGAAATTTTGCTGACTACAAATGTGCGGAAACACAAACACACACAGAGACACACACACAGACACACAGACACGCCAAAAACAATACCTCCATTTTTCATGGAGGTAAAAATTAAATACTTCATGGAAGTGTGAGACCTTCGAATTCTTGTTTTTAATGGTATCCCACTATTTATACGTAACTAATAAATAATTATTCATACCTAATTACGACAGTTTACTTACATGCTTACTAACACTTTTATGTGGTTAACAGATGCAGCATCTCGCATCATTAAACGGGTTCTGATGTACATGGCTCGTGACGAAGAGACCCGGAATGCATTTCTACTAGACCGAGAAGAAACGGCCCTTGAACCTCGCAAAGAAGGTTGTTTTTCTTAGCAATCCTGTGTGTGTGTTTGTGTGTGTGTGTGTTTGTGTGTGTGTCTGTGTGCGAGGTGTGTGTGTGTGTCTGTGTGTGTTTGTGTGTGTGTGTGTGCGTGCGTGCGTGTGTGTGTGTGTGCGTGTAAACATTGTAAGTTGACAAGGCTAAAGTGTATTGTTTTAATTTGTGTAGTTGGGTAGGTCTCTATGAGTAGCAACAGAGCATGCTGTTCTTTTTTAATCTCATCACGAAAAAAAGCAACACCAGAACCCATGGTGTTGGAAACCATTCAGCTATGTTGTTTGCTTGGTCATTATCTACGTATATGTATATCATTTTTCTTCAGATCCTTTAAAACGATTTCAAATTGATACGAGTAAGAACATGTATCTTGTTTAAGCTTTCGGCGGCAAAATGATTTTCTTCTCTCTTGTTCAATTTCCAGACCCACATAATGATAATGACGTCATCTTTCTGTCTGAGAGACGCCCAGCCGTTGAGGAAGACCACAAGGACGAGGTAGCACGCACTTGTAAGTTACAATTCTTTAAACATCATTAACACCGACCTGTAAATTTTGCAATGTGCATCTAAATCCCCCACTTTCTCTGTTTGGTTGCATGGAAACCTGAAAGATTACAACACAGGGCGGAGTGAACTTAACTTTGCACAGTTAAGCTGCAGATTAAGAAAAATTACCTTACCCTTAATCTCAAGATATTAAATGAGTTTTAATGAAATTTTAGTGTCTTGTGGGGAATTTTAAGTTGCCCATATCCAAATTCAGCCGTTTAAATATGCAATTGTATGTGTGTGTACACGTGTACCGTACCGTGAGATCTGGAGACCATCGTCGCATATGCCTTGTCCCCCACAGCGACAAGTAGGTACCTGGACAAGGTAAGATAAGGTAAGATACATAGGTACAAAGGTAAGGCCCAAAAAGGCGGTCGTAGCTCTAATTATCATGCTTAACCCCCAATCTAGACTTTTATGGAATTCTTGGAACTCGGGGAGGGGGGCGGTGCTCCCCTCAAAACCTGTGAACGGTTTGTCGTGTGGCCTTCAAATCTTAAGAGAATGTTTTACTAAATCATTGTAGTAATTTTGATATCATTTTTTTACTTAATATGACGTCATTAAAACATCATTTATCTGATTTTGTTTCGTAAACTGTCTAGAAAGGTAGTTTCGTAAAACTTGACGGTATACAACACAACTTTAACAAAAGTGAAAATGCTAGAATTTTTAGATGTGCTAAAACGTATGTTGCCCATAACAAGACAAGCGACGTCATAAAATGACGTTATGCATATCGGCGGCATGCATATGTGATTTATCCGCCATCTTGAATTCTTAATCTTAAATTAAAAAAAATATTTTCAAGATCAAGCCTAAAAATACGAAGGAAATATTCTACAGACGTTTAAATCAACCATTTATGTAAAATAATCAATAAAATTTTAATGAAACATCAAATCTAGTAGTATAGTCCGCTGTCTTAGATTTTGACCAGTGGCGTCCACAAATTAGCAAAAATTATGCGTGATTATTGATAAAAATGTATAAAATGTTATCATTGTTACAAATTATGTTTAAAAAAATTTTCAAAAATGTAAAAAAACTTTTCAAAAAGCATACAAACCTAGAAATGTTTAATGTTAAACGAAAATTACTAGATTTTGCAAAAAAATCTTAATATGAAGTAGTTGCCGACTATATTGTGTCAGAAAGTTTGCTACCCGACATCAAATTTGGTGCGGGCAGTTTTAGTCTTCGCCCTATTCTAGATAGGGTATAATGTCCTAATAATCGTATAATATACATCATAGGTCTCTCTCCTTCGTCTGATCTTTTAACAATTGGCTCCCTTCCACTCTGATACAGTTTCAGATGAACATGCCGACGATGACGTCATCTTCCTGTTTGAAAGGCGGCCAGCCTTTGAGGAACCCCGCCCACGTCCGCCCCCCTGTGCACATATGCGGACGGGTAAACATTAAAAATCTCACGATACAATGAAGTACTTGCGTCCTCGTGTGTACATTGCTCATACGAGGGTGTTTCTCTGTGTTTCAAACATTTGTGTTAATATAAACAAAATATAAATTAATAACTATGGACATAGTAATGATCATAATCTTTAAAAGCAACATTAAGATGAAATAAAAACAAACAAACCCATAATTATGACAATATTTTACAAATGTAAAACAATTATAACATCAACAATCTTCACTAAAAATAGAACCCCTTTAGTAGAATTGTCAACAATCCCAATGGGGTTCAATAGTTGGAGGTCAAAGGTTTACTGTGAAATTAAATCTTACCAATAGGTATACATGAAATTTACATGTTAATTGTTAAGTATGCA